AGCTGCTTATGGTCATGGCATTTCCTCACAGCAATAGTAACCTTATCTAACAAGACACTTGGCCATGGTGTTTCATCAGAGTGACAGAAAAGTAACTAAGACAATAGTTGTGAGCTGTCAGGTGGATGCAAGAAATTGAACTTGGGTCTTCTGCAAGAACACACACTCTTAGGTGCTAAACTATCTCTCAAGACCCCTCCTGCTTTTTGAGAAATGGTCTCACTATGTATCCTTGGGTGGTATAGAAGGCACAATGTAGACTAAACTGTCAAGCTTTTGGCCTCTGTCTCTGTCTCCTGGCTGTTGGAATTGCAGGTATATTCCACAAAGTCTGCCCCATCATACATATGGAGCAGTGCTGACCGAGAACTGAACCTAGGACCTACTGTATGCTAACTCTACCACTGAGCTCCATGCCCAGCCCTTACATTCCCTAACAGCCCATCTTCACAGCTCTGTGATGCTCCCCATTTTCCAAGTGTGCTCTGAACAAGACTGATTCCTTTCCAGTACTTGAGTCCAGAGGGAACAAGGTCACTCTGCAGTGGAGAATAGTCAAGGTCAGTATCAACAGCCCCAGTCACACTCACAGAGTGTCCTCTTATTATGACATCATGGGAATGACACTTGACCTCTGTGGTCTTCCTCCTTAGAACACATGATCCCTGTATAGTCACGAGGAAAGAGCAGGGCAAACCTCATTCCAATAGTAGCACTCACCAACTTCTCATATCTTCCCAGTCATCAAAAGCAAGAAAAGTCTAGGACCATGGTCACAGCCAAGAGGGCCCTAACGAGACTTTACGGTGGACGTGAGAGATGGCTCAGCAGTTAAGAGCACTGGCTACTCTTCCAGAGGGACCTGGATTCAATTCCCAGTACACACACACAGTAGCTGTGCTGACTGGTTTTATGTCAACTTGACACAGTCTAGAGTCATCTGAGAGGAGGGAGCCTCATTTGAGAAAATGCCTCCATAAGACTGGGCTATAGACAAGTCTGCAAGGCATTTTCTTAACCAGAGAGTGCTGGGGGAGAGCCCAGCCCATGGAAGGTGGGGTTATCCCTCCCAGGGTGGTCATTGGTTCTCTAAGAAAGCAGGCTGAGCAAGCCAGTAAGCAGCATCCTTCATGGCTTCTGCATCAACTCCGGCCTCGTGGTTCCTGCCCTGTTTGAGTTCCTGTCCCAACTTCCTTCAGTGATGGGCAGTGATGTGGAGGTGTGAGCCATAATCACCGTCTTCCCCAAGTTGTTTTTGTCGTGGTGTTTCATCACAGCAATAGTGATCCTAACTGGGACAGCAGCTCACAGCCGTCTGCAGCTCGGGTTCCAGGAACTCTGATACCTTCCCCTGGCCTCCGTGCACATCAGGCAGGAATATAGTGTGCAAACATAGATGCAGGCAAAGCACTCATATGTAAAATAATAATAATAATTGAGGGGGAGGGAGGGACTCTTCAGTTAAATATGAGATGTCCTGGACAGGATTCTGGCTCAGAGACTTAACTGGGGCTTTAGTTAGAAATAATGTGTCAGTGTTGGTTTACTCGTTATAACAAATGTCCGTGGGCGGATTGGCTGTGACGTGTGTGTGTGTGTGTGTGTGTGTGTGTGTGTGTGTGATCTCTCTGCACATCTCCTTTTCCTTTTTCTTCTTCAGTTTTCCTCTTATTCTCCCGGTGTTGGGGACAGAACCTACAACCTTGCACTTGCTAGGCAAGGGCCCTACCACTGAGCTAAAACTCCTAACCCTTGATTTTGTTGTCATTTTTCAAACTAAAATTCCGTATTAATGTATTTACTGAGGCAGAGTACGGACACATGCCAGAGCACACGTGTGGAAGCCAGAGGACTGCTGCCACCATCAGTGAGTGTCCTGAGAACTAAACCCACGTTATCAAGCTCAGTGGCCGTCACCAGCCTGTTGTTGTTGCTGTTTTGTCTCCAGGCAAGGCCCCATAATGCCAAGCCCATGTAGCTAAGGATGAGCCAAGCCTGCCCACAGACTCCCTGTACAGACAACGATGCCTCTGAACTTCTGAGCCCCCTGCCTTTACCTCCGCAGTTCTGGTATTGCATGCATGGACCACCATGCCCCGGTTTGGGTGATTCGGGGAATCCAACCCAGAACTTTCTACATGTGAGGCAGGTCCTCTACCAGCTAAGCTACATCCCCACCCTTCTGTGTGAGAGTCCGGCTCTCGAGACACCGTCTCACTCTGTAGTTCTGACCTGGAACTCACTCTGTAGCTCAAGCTGCTGTTACAAGCATGGACCACCAAGACTAACTTCAGTTTCTTCATGAAACTGTCCGTGGGGCTGGGGAGATGGCTCAGTAATTAAGAACACACACTGCTCTTGCAGAGGACCCGAGTCTGGTTCCCAGCACCCACTCTGGGCGGTTCACAACCTCCTGGTGACGCCAGCTCTAGGGAATCCAGGGCCCTCTTCTGGCCTTTGAGGGCACTGCACTCATGTGTACCTACCCACACAGACACGCACAAACACATACTTTAAAACGAGATAAATCCTTTAAAATAAATAAATGAAAATCTTCTAGAAGAAAAGTACATTATGGAAAGAAAAATTTCAAAGTTAAATAAAGTCAGAATCCTCGTTGTATAGGTAAGGAAATAAAGCACGAGGAGATGGATGGCTTCTCTCATGAAGGCCAAGACTGGAATGAGGTCTGTCTCTCCTGGGGACTGTTCGCTCTCCTCCCTTAGCGCAGACGTTGTCTGAGCTGAGACTGTCCCCTCTCCCCAGCCCAGTGGCAGGACCTTACATTGTGAGGCTTCTCCGCCTCTCTATGCTGCACGCTGAGCCTCTTCAATACATTCATGCCCTGTGTTCTGGGGTCAGGACTGTCCAACCAAGAGAGCTTTTGTCCCTGTTCCCCTGAGACATCTGACGGTGTCTGGAGGCATCAGGGGCCGCCGTCAGTTCTCCCTCTCCCCGGGGACGGAGCTCAGGTTGTCAGTCTTGGCAGCACAGTGCCTTTACCTGCCAAGCCATCCCCAGCCTGGAGCCATTTCCATTCCGGTGACTAAACGGTTTCTGGGTAAGCGCTACCAGCAGAGGTCCGGCAAGCTGTGGGGCATCCTCCAGTTCCAAAGAGTTTTCCTTCCCCCAACAGTCAGCAGCGCTGCAAAGACAGTACTGTGTTCTGGTGACCTCCGCAGGACTGGCAACTTCCTGTTGTCCTAGGAAATAGGACATCCTGCAGGTCTGCCGAGAGGCCCCCAACAGAAGTCAGAGTCAGTGACTGGGGAATTGTATGTGCCTAACCACATGCACGAGTTTTGAGTTTGGGAAGTATGGTGACCACAAATACAGCAGCGACTCTGTGATTGAGAGCCCCACCCTGGGGAACAGGGTTTCTCCCCCTGACCTCCACCGTGAGCCTCTTGGCCGAGGTGCAGGATGCTCTATTTCCCGACGCAGGAGGAAGTTGAGGGCCTTGAAGAGGTCACGTCTGAGTCAGCCTTTCTTGGCCTCGGATCCCAAAACTCAGAGACCTGAAAGAGACATCGGCATCCTGGCTGGGAGCCAGGGCACCGGCTGGGGAGGCGTGGCAGGGAGCTGGCAGTGCTGTGTCAGCCTTCCTCCGGGCTGGCCGGGCGGGCAAGTCATGGCAGCTGTGTTGGTTGGGGTTAGTCCAAGTTCTCTGGACTCCAGCATCTCTGGATATAAAAGGTGGAGAACACTGGTCCTCTCTGTTGGAGAGAGGATGCAGGCGTCAGGAGCACCCTTAGTGGTACTGACTCAGCACTGGGTGTAGCTGCGGGAGAAAACGGAGCAGATGAGACAGAGCCTTGTCTCCCTTGCTTTGTGCTTGTAAACCATGGATCTACTTCTAGTGAGGCACTGGGAAGCAATCAAGTTAAAACACAGTTTCCCAGACGAAAGACAGATAAACACACACAAAAGTGAAAACAGCTTGAGGTTTTACTCTCACAAACGTAAGCTGATAATTTTTCTTTGAACCAAATTATTCAGTCTCCGTAGAGACTGTCAAAAATTGCCAATGCCGAGGGTTGGGGGGAGCAGGAGAGGGGGTTGTGGCTTTGTCCACAAGCACTCAGCTTCATTCCTTCCCTTCTGTAGTTTACATGGAGTTTAAAACCAACAAACTGCCTCTCAAAACTCCCTCCCCATGGGAGGAGCTAGTAAAGGGAGGTGACTTCTGACGTGGGTCAGCAACAGCTGGGCAGGTGTAGGGAACCTTAGTGACAGCCAGTCCCTGTGCCTGGCTGCCTACCAGCCTCCACCAGCTTCCCAGCCCCGGAGCGCCATCCCTCAGCTGTCCGCAGGACACCCAAAAAACCAGCTCCTTCCTCCTCGACATAGCTTTCTCCTTCAAGTTTCTGTTTTCCTGATTGGACCCTGACTGATACAGAAAATATCATGTGACAAAGGTGGAAATCTATTGCTTCTTATTATAGCAAGGTCCAAAGCAGAAACGATCCCCCAAACTCTTGGTAATCGCCCATTAGTGTAAGGGGTCACCAACATCAGCTTGACTGCTTCTGGGTAAAGCAAGATGGCTCCCCATAGGAGTCCATGGATACGCGGGTCTACACCTGTGTCCTTCCCAATTCTATCACCTCCCTTGGCACCTGAAGTCCTGGCTTAGTCTCTCTGCCATTAGGGGGGTGCTCTCTTCTCCCTGCCAAACTCAACCTACTTTCCTTGTAATTTTTATCGATACTGTTTGCCGTTAATGTCAGAGGCTCTCAGGAAAACAGCTGACAGGGGACAGAGCACAGAGACTCTCCCCAGCCCCTGATGTCACGCCATGGAGCTTTCTGGAGTTCTGGAACCTCCCAGAATTGTGTTGGAAATGCCACTTACTTTCAGGGGAAGCTTTTGGAGAGGGAGCTTATAGCTACCATCAGATTGTCAAAGGACCATGGGATCCGGAAAAATGATGGCCAGGTTAGGGAAGACTGTCTGTAGAATGCGCCTTCCTTGGAGAGCAGCAGTGCACTGTTGCCTAGCTGCTTACCTGGCAGGGTGGGCCCATGATGGTGTGGTGAAGGTAGCTTTCCCAGGGTGAGGCTCATCCAATGCACTCTGGGTGTGCTGCCCCTTGTGGCTCCCCCCACGTGGGAAACTTAACCATGTAATTTGTGGCAATGAGGAAATGTGTTTGTGCTCTCTCTCAAGTTGAAGGGAAATACTCCATTATCTCTACCACTGTGGAACTCACGAAGATGTACTCTATGTGCTTGTGCTGTATAGACTACATTCTTGGTTTTGTTGCTGTTTTTGCTTTGCTTTGTTTTTGTTTTTGAGACAGGGCTTTTCTGTGTATCCCTGGCTGTCCTGGAACTGGCTGACCTCTGCCTCCTGAGTGCTGGGGTTCAAGGTGTGCACCCCCACCACCCAGCTTACACTGCATTCTTTGACGATGATGGCTGTAGATTCCAGCTTGTTCAAAGGAATAAAGAGTGTGAAAATGGGCAATCAGGTCAGAGTAATGGGTCCACAGTCAAGAAACTTAGGATTGGCTTCTTCTACTTCGGGAAAACACCAAATGGCGATGACGCCGGTGCAGCGGGAGGGCCCGGAGGACCCGGGGGCCCGGGATTAGGCGGCCAAGGCGGCTTCCACGGAGGCTTCGGTCGTGGTCGAGGCCGTGGCCGTGGTTGAGGCCGCGGGGCTCGTGGAGGTAAAGCCGAAGACAAGGAGTGGAGCCCTGTCACCAAGCTGGGCCGCCTGGTTAAGGACATGAAGATCAAGTCCCTGGAGGAGATCTACCTGTTCTCCCTGCCCATTAAGGAATCCGAGATTATTGATTTTTTTCTGGGCGCATCTCTAAAGGATGAAGTTCTAAAAATCATGCCAGTACAGAAGCAGACTCGGGCTGGCCAGCGCACCAGGTTCAAGGCTTTTGTCGCTATTGGGGACTACAACGGTCATGTTGGCCTTGGTGTGAAGTGCTCCAAGGAGGTAGCCACAGCTATCCAGGGGCCATCATCTTGGCCAAGCTTTCCATTGTCCCTGTGCGGAGAGGCTACTGGGGGAACAAGATTGGCAAGCCCCACACTGTCCCATGCAAAGTGACCGGCCGCTGTGGCTCTGTGTTGGTGCGTCTCATCCCTGCCCCCAGAGACACTGGCATCATCTCGGCTCCTGTGCCCAAGAAGCTACTGATGATGGCCGGTATTGATGACTGCTACACGTCAGCCAGGGGCTGCACTGCCACCCTGGGCAACTTTGCCAAGGCCACCTATGATGCCATCTCCAAGACCTACAGCTACCTGACCCCTGACCTCTGGAAAGAGACTGTGTTCACCAAGTCTCCTTATCAGGAATTCACGGGCCATCTTGTGAAAGCCCACACCAGAGTCTCTGTTCAGAGGACCCAGGCTCCAGCTGTGGCCACCACATAAGGGTTTTCATACAAGAAAAATAAAGTGAATTAAGTCTGTTAAAAAAAAAAAAGAAACTTAGGATTGGTGGGCTGGGATATCTCTCTTTCTCGCTCTAGTACAGGGAGTTATTGCTTAATATTTAAAGAGTTTCTGTTTGGGGTGATGAAGAGTTTTATAAACAGGTTGCTGCACAATATCATGGGTATAATTATTTCAATTGAGTTGGACACTTCAAAATTGCTGAAATAAAAAATTCTGTGTCTAATTTTGTTTTGTTTTGTAACTGCAATTTAAAGCAACAAAACAATGTAACAAAACCCACCGAATTGTGCACTTTACTGGGGGACTGTTGAGTGTTGAAATTATTTGTATATGAAGGAACAAATTACCCAGAAAAGCCAGGCAGTGGCTCTTTAAGTACCATAACACAAAAAAAGGCATGGCCCATGAGAGAAATAAGTGATAAACTTAATTTAATTAAAATTAAAAACTGTCAAGAAGAAGACAAGACTGAAGGAAAATGTTTGCAAAAGTTGTATCTGATAAAAGACTGACTCTCGGATAAAGAGTGCTTGCTGTATAAACTTGGAGACCTGAGTTCAAATCCTCAGCACCCAAATAAAAAGTTGGGCATAGCCATACTGCCTGTGACTCCAGTGCTGTGGGATAGGGAAAGGAGATCCCAGGGATGTGCCAGCTGTCAGCCTATGGCTACATGGCCAGTGAGAGACCTGACCCAAGAAAACAGTGAGGAGGGACATGCAGAACACTGATGTCCTCCATTGGCCTCTGTGCATACGCAGGTGCACCCCCCCACACCCACACCCACATACCACACACACCACACACACTCACACACACATACCACACACACTCACACACACATACACACACACCACACACACTCACACACATACCACACACACAAACACACCACATACACTCTCACACACAACACACACTACACACACGCATACTCACACACACCCCATATACATACATACACTCACACATACCACACACACATATACACACACACCACACACACTCACACACATACCACACACACACACACATACACACACACCACACACACATATACACACACACCACACACACTCACACACACATACCACACACACTCACACACATATACCACACATAAAAACACGTCACAAACACTCTCACACATACAACACACACATACACACACTATACACACACCACATACAACACAAACACTCATATACACACAACACGCTCATCGCATGCACATACACACACTCACATACCACACACACCACATACACACAATTTTTAATCATACAAAGAACTCTCAAAACTAATCCATAATGAACCATTAGACAAGAAAATCAGACATCTCACCAAAGAAGATTACATAAATTATACACACAGACACACATACACACACACACTAAACATATAAAAAAGGTCAGGTGTTGGTGGCACATGCCTTTAATGCCAGCACTAGGGAGGCAGAGGCAGGTGGATCTCTGTGAGTTCGAGGCTAGCCTGGTCTATAAATCAAGTTCCAGGACAGCCAGGGTTGTCTTAGAAAAAAAAGGAAAGAAGGAAGGAAGGAAGGGAAGAAGGAAGGAAGGGAAGAAGGAAGGAAGGAAGGAAGGAGAAATGCATGTCTTGTGCTGGCTTTCCTTTAAGACAAGGTCCTACTGTACATCCAGGCTGGCTTCCAATTTGGGATCCTCCTGTCTCAGTCTCCCAATTGCTGGAATTATTACAGATATCTGATACCACATCTGAACTTGGAGAGCATCAAGGAATGGTTGAGAGGGAATTAGGTTTTGGGGGATTGTCTCTTGGTGATATTTATTTGTTTATTATGTGTATACATACACACAAAAGTGTTATCATAATCTAAAAACTTCTAGTTAATAGCGAAATAGCTGGACCTGGTGATACACACTTTTAATCCCAGCCTTTGGGAGGCAAAGCAAGTGTTTGAGGGTATCCTGGTCTACAAAGTGAATTCCAGGCCAGCCATGGCAACATAGTGAGACCCTGTCTCAAAAATAATATAACGATAATAAACAACTCTTAGAAGCCAGGCGTAGTGGAGCTCACCAGTAATACTTAGGACGCTACATAAGCGGGCTGTGGTGACCTGAAATCAGGGTGCCTGGGAAGTAGGAGCAGAAGGATATGGAGTTCAAGGTCGTCACTGGCTATACAGGAGTTTGTGGCCAACCTGGACTTCGTGAAAGCCGCCTCAACAGCAAGAAAAAGTTCACACACCACAAGTGCCCAGCATGCTGAGTCCTCAAAGGGAACACACCTGTGTAGCCAGCATGGCTAAGGTGAAGGTACTCTGCAGCTATGCAGAAGTAAATGCGGACTTCCGACAGGGGCTTTCACAACCCACAGGCGACTTGGAAACAAGGCTTAAGGATTGCATTAGTTCCAGGAGCCCTGGTCTGAAACAGAAAAACTTGAAGGTGGGGCGCTGAGGCCAGCGGTAGGTTGGAGCTGCTTTTGAACGAGGTGAGGCCCAGCCTACCGGCTCAGGTAAGCCAGGAAGAATGCAACAGCCGCCAAGCCCTCCAAGCCGCGGGCGCGTCGCGGTGACTCAGCCAGTACCAGGAAGGAGGAGTGCACCCAAGCTCTCCCCGGGACAACAGCCTGATTTCGGAGAGCTCTGGAGAGCCGAACCAAGCCCCCCGCGGCGAGCATCCAGGCGTCTGGGGCGGGACCCCCTCCCGTCCCGCCTCCTTCCCGGAGCAGTGACTCCAGCCCATCGCCGGGACGTGGCCGAGGGTGCTGAGAGCTCTGCGGGCGCCGTGGGGGCCACGCGGGACCCGGCCCCGACGGCGCCCAGAAGACCTACAAGAGCTGTAAGTAGTGGCTTCCAGGCCTGGGAGGCGACCGTGGGGAAGGTCCATCCCTGGCGGCCCAGCTTCCCTCCGGTTGTAGCGCGGGCTGGGAGGAGGTGGCCTGGCGCCATCGCCTCCCTAATTAGCCCTGGTGGTACCGACGCAGGCGCTTGAGACAGCTCAGGTCCGGTGTGAGTCCCACAAGGGCTTCCTACCTGAGGTCCCCTGCACGGGCCTGCCCAGTCCACCTGGCTGCCCGCAAGCTCTCGGAATCGGGTCCTGGGGTCACTCTGGGGGTCTCCGGACATACCCCACCCCACACCCTGCTTGGTGACAGCTCCCCCCCGCAGCCAGAGTTTACAATTCCAGCCGAGCCAGCAGACTGACCTCTCCTTACTCCCTTCTACGACTCACCCTGGTGTTTGAAAGTTGGGGTGCCGTCCTGGAGCCTAAAAACGGAGTGAACAGTCCCTGAAACGAATCCCAGTTTAACTGGCAGGGATGGCAGGGCACTGGGGATGCCTCTGGCAGGCTGATGACACACACTCGGGTTTCCCGGAGGTCCAGTTTCTGGAGGGCTGAACCCCAAACTCCAGGCACCCAGTTCCCAAGTGGAAGCCGAGCAAAAGGCAGCAGAGGAGTTGGGTTGCTCTCATCTTTGGGACAACGCGATTTGAGGGCTACTTCTATTTAGACCATTGTCCGGGGCCGATTGTGACTTCTTTCTTTTGATATTCTGGAAACTTTTGCAAAGTTTAAGACCGAAGGAAAACACGCGGCCCCTTGTGCAGCCCGCGAGGTCCTCCGGGCCTGAGGAGGCGGAGATCTGGGGAGACTAGAGCCCCTGGCTCTGAGCGAGGGGAGGAAACCAGACGAGCTGGCTTCCTGTGGGGGCTCGGGCCTCGGACGCCCCGCGGATAGACGTGTCCTGCCCTGGCAGCGCCGAGCCCCGCTCGGGGGAGGGGATGCGTGGGGGGCGGCGGGGGCTGAGACAGCGAGGAGGGGGCGGGGACAGGGTGGGCCAGGGAAGAGGGGAGGAGCGAGGGGGCTGGAGAGAAAGAGAGACAGAAGGAAGAAGGAAGGGGCGATCGGTGGGTGCGAGCTGGCGCTGGAATGGGAGCCAAGAGCCAGTGAGCGGGGAGGGGGGCGCGGGCGACACCCAGGTGTCGCATGGCGGGGTCCACGCGGTGACCTGCCTGGGGGAGCACAACTTGCACGAGTCTGCACTAGGGCACCCCAGCCGGTCCCCGGTCCCCCACGCACACCCGGGGGGAGGCCCGCCCCGCCCTCAGAGCGCTGTTTTCTCCAGGTCCCGGGCCGATGTCCCAGGTGAGCGGTCAGTGCCCCTCTCTCTGCGACGCGCCCCATGGAGTCCCCAGCACTGCCCTGGACCCAGGTAGGAGCGGGAATGGAAAGCGAAGATGGACCGGAGTGGGGTGGAAGTCTAAGAGGGTTTGGGGGGTTGGGGGGTTGGTTCTCTCGCAGAGACACGGGCGGATAGCTCCCAGGAGCCTGGGTGGGAGTGGGGGTGAGAAGTCCGAGTATTGGGGACCCGGTCCAAGAGAAGCAGAAAGGAGTACAGGGCTGTGGTGAGGAGGCAGGGCCCGGAGCAGGCAGCCATGGCTGAGCGGAGTTGGCTCCAGCTCCCCCCAGCCCCATCTACACACACAAACACGCACACGCACACGAGGTGTCTGCCCGTAATATTGGGATTTGTGTCCCAACCATTCCTGCCCAGTGTGTGAATATTTATGAGGGCCTTAGCAGGGGTGTGTGGCGGGAGGAGGGGCGGTGTCTGCTCTCTCTTCTTCCCTTCCCCCAAACTAAACAGAGTGTAAGTTCGAGCGCTTTTTGAAAACTTTTGTTTCCGCAACTAGTGGCTACAAACCTGGCCCCTTCCCTCCCCTCAGTCCCTACCCAGCGTGGTACACAAACACACACCTTGTGCAACGTAGTGAGAGGCCCCTCCCCCACCTCAGAGGCTAAACCACCCCGCTTCTCCCTGGACCGTGCAGACTGAAGAAGGATGTGCGGGGACCTCAGTCTGCCCTCCCATTGCTTTCTCCTAGGAAGACTCTATGAAGTCCAGATTCGGTGGGGGCGGGGCAGCAAAAGTGTCTGCCCAGATTTTCTGACTTAAACCCGTTTTGGCTCCGTCAGAGGCCCTGCCTTCCTCCCACCAAGCTAACCTCTCCCTTCTCCCAGACTGTCTCAGCAATGAAGATCCAACCGTGGACCTCGAACTACCCTCATGATCTTAGACAGTCCTTTCCCCTTCTCTGGCTGGCCCCAGCCTCCACGCCTCACCCCCAGCCTGGCCACCCTAGCTGTATGTCTGTTTGGGAATGGTCACCATTGACTGTCTACCTGGCCTGGACCCTCACAGCTGTAGAGGTGGAGGATCTCCAAAACTCTAAGGATGTCTGGCCAGTGGAGACAAGTCTGTCTGTGCCCTTGTCTGCACCAATCCTAAGTCCCTGTTCCGGTAGAGCCCTTGATACAAGGACTTAGAGTTCTGGGGAATATGCGCCGCCAAGGACCAGGTTCCTTCAGCTTGGAAGGACAGCAGGGAACAGGAGGCTGGGAGGCCTTTGTGTCTGGGAACTTTCTCTGTCTCTTTTGGCGTCTCTGTCACCCCCACTTTTCCATGTTCCCTTCCTTCCTTATTCGTTTTCTCTGCTCTCTCCTCTGATATCTCCATCCAAGACCCCCTCCCCAGTCTGACCTGCTCTCCACCCACTGGCAGAGGAGGGGAGCCAAGTGTGCTCAACACAGGCTGCAGAGTCCAGGGGGAGCTGCTGGGAAGGCTTAGTCCTGGGCTGTAATTTGAGGCCCCCAGCAAGACCCCTCCCCAGCCTGAACTGGGCCAGACAATGTGGCTTTTGTAACACTTGTCCTGTTCTGGACTGTTCTGCCTGCTACCCAGGAAGCCCAAACCGCAGGAGATACAGCCAAAACTCCACAGATGCCTGACCCTGAGACCAGAACCCCTCATGCTCCCTGCATGCCCACAGAACAGGGAGAGCACAGCACTGTCCCCAGGGTGGAAGCTGCTGGGAGGACAGCCAGGGTGTGACATGCCTCCACTTTCAGGCACCCACAATATAGACAGGGCACAAGAGGACTAGGCAGCTGTGGTTAGGGCGGGTGGCCAAGCACTCACACTCTTGACCCTAACCCTGGCCACTACCCCACCCACTCCTGAGGGCTCCAAGAGCCGGGCTCCCTAACCCACAAGATTTCTGCCTAGCACTGGGCGTCACATTTCTAGCCATGGCTCTAAATTCAATTTCCTGGGAACTGGAGCCCTCGGACCTAAAATAAAACAACTGGATTGGACATAACTGACAGCTCACATCCTCTATCAAAATAGTCCACTTTCTCTGGTTGCCCTGGGCTTCAAAGCCAGATGCCATCCGTAATCCTTGATGTGGCCCCTCTTTCTCCTTCCCCTAACCTGGGGCCTTCTGAACTCCAGCACTCGAGTCACAGACATGCAGAGGTAAATACTAACACCAAAAGAGATGGACGAGAGACTAGCAGGTCATTGTCAGACTGTCAGTAACAGGGCAGCGTGGAGGACACACGGACACCACAGGTGTTGGGAAAGGCTTTCTGAAGGGAGAGATGAGGCTGCAGCTGGACCAGGGAGCATGGGCAGCAGTGTGGTACAAGGAACTACATAAGCACAGGTAATTTGGCCAGAAGCTGTTGGGATGGCCCAGGGGCCTGGACGGGCTAGTCTGCCTGGAACACAAGACCTTTGTACATTGATTGAAGGTGTGTGACAGAGAGTGAACGTGAGGTTTCAGCCACCACTCTCTGGTCTGAAGTCGTGGTCTTCTCTTTCCAGAGACAGTCATAGCCCAAGGGGCAGGGAACCCAGATCCACTGTCCACAAAGACAATGCTGGCGGCCGGACTTGGAGCCCCAGAACGTGGAAACTGGCCAGGCTTGAAGTGAACCCATTCTACCTGGAAGAGGTTCTCCTCTTTCTTCCTGGCCAAGAACCATCCCCCAACCTGGAGGATAACAGGCAGCGGGAGTCCACGGGGTCCCTGCTGTTGGTGTGAGTCTCCCCAGACTTTGCGTGGGGCGTGCGGATTTCAGTATGTTATTTCCACTCCTTTCCAGAGAGGCACAGAGGCCAGAGCCTTGCCCCACTTAGGGGTGAGCGTGTGCTGAAGAGACTCCCGTCTGGACTTCACCAGGGGTGCAGGACACTAGTATGTTTGTGTAAATTAAAGAATGGTGTCGCTGTGGCCAGGTGGGTGAGGTAGATGTGCAGCCGGGTGGCCAGATGGCACCTGCTGAGACTCCAGCTGGGGACATCACCCCCTCATCACCCATGCTTTCAGCTGGGTCTTTTATGCACGCCCACAGTGTTCCCTAATGGCCTTTCCCAACTACACCTCTACCCTGGTTACACGCAACGCTCCTTAGAGATGCTCTCTTCTCCAAGGGGGACAGTGGGGTCTTTTGGTCACAGAAGGAAAACCGGGCTCTTTACCCTATCGATCTGCCAGACCTCCGCCCTGTGCCCTGTCTCTTCTGTCCCACCCATCCTGCAAGTGCCGTTGAGCCCGTGTCTTGGGGTCCTGTCCTCTGGGGCAGCGTCCCTGGGCAGATGGGCCTTCCTGACTCCGCCTTTTCCTTCGCTTCTGCTGGCCTGTCCTGAGCACCTGCTCTGCCCCCTCTTGTGGTCTACACTGTGACCCTCCTAGCTTCAGGAGGTCTGTCCCTCTGTCCGGGTTGAGCCACTAGACATGGTCCTAGAATGGCAAACTTCCCAGGGCCAACTTCCTCAGGCCACAGTCTGGTCTCTCTAGAAAATTCTGTTCCGTCTAGATTCGAGACCACCAGCCTTGTAGTGACTTGTGAGGAGAGACTCCTGGGTGAAAGGGATGGAGAAGAGACTCCCATCCCCTTAAACCCTCTTTCTTGTCTTTCTTCTTCCCAAGCCCTGGGGGGTCAAAAGAGCAGGAATCTCGACTCTGTCTATTCAAAGCTGTGCACTCTGTGACCTCAGGAGAAAGTCCAGGAAGCCAAGGGCCTTTAATGACCAGCTGCTATTCCAGACTCCCAGCCTCAGTAGCACCAAATGGCATATGCTCCCTCATTCCCACCAAGCTGGTGGCTCTGGGGTCTTGGTTCCCATAGCTCTTCTCAAACAACCCCCAAGAAAACTTATGACTCAGTGCATACTGCCTTCTCCAGTGTACCTCCTGACACGTGTGTATGTGCACACACAGGCAAACACACACGTGCACATGCACACACACACACACCTATAGGCCTTTAAAATTTGTGGGGGTTTTGTTGTTGTCTTTTGAGACAAAGCTTCTCTATGTAGCCCTGGCTGTCCTGGGAACTCACTCTGTAGACCAGGCTGGCCTCGAACTCAGATCGGCCTGCCTCTGCCTCCCCAGTGCTGGGATTGGCATCACCCGTGAGGTGAAAAAGCTAGCATTGTTTGTTTTCGTTTTGGGGGCTTTGGGTTTTTGGCAGTGCTGGGAGTAGCAATCATAGTTGTTGTTTTCATGTCAACAAGCGCTCTAACTGAAATGCATTCCCAACCCTCTTCCTCAGCAAGACTTATAAACACCCCTGCTGCAGCCTTCTGCTCTTCTGGCCCCTGAACCCCCTCCTTTTTGCCCCAGCTCCTACTTGCCCTGGGCAGACAGAAGCGTGCCTACTTGAGCCTACAGCCCTCCGTGCTACCCATAGGCTTCTGGGATCTCTGTCCACATGGCCAAGGGGAACTAGGGGCTGTTAACAGGGACCCAGCAGCCAGTGAAGGGCTGGACACTGGGGCACCCCAGGCCTACTTCCAGCTTCTGACCCCCAGATTCAAGTGCCCACATCTTCACGGATGGCTCTGCTTATCTCCCTCCATGGCTGTCATCTCTCCCTCTCTCATCTGAAGACAGCTCAGAGGACATCTATATAAGTGGGTCTCTGTTCTCTGTAATGGAACCTGTTCCCATTCTCCGGACCAGCCTTTGCCTCCATCCCCGTCCTTTTCTGGTGTGTACAGAGTGGCTTGGATGCTGACCTCTCACCTTTGGGCATCGCTGCTGTTTCCTTCCACCCCCCATCTACGTAGCCTCCCCTCCCCCACCCCCTCCCCCACCCCGCCCGCCCCAACCCTGCCCTTCGGTGTTGCCTCTCACTTCTGTTTCTCCGGTCTCTCAGCACGGGAGGTGTGAAAGAGACAGGCAGAGAGAGAGGCCATGCTGCCTCACCGCACAGCACAGCCTGGGGTCTGCGTGGCTTTACCCCGTGACCCCTGGCTTTACCCACAGACCTGCCTTACTCAGAGGCTGAGGCTCTGGGCTCTCAGACACCTCCCATCCCCTGTCCCTTGCCCACGGGGCCCTAGTCCTGCCGCCTGCGGCCGAGGGAGCTGTGGTTTGAAGGTGGCCTGGTTCCCTCATTCCGCCCACCCTGCCCAGAGCCACTCTAATTACACAGGACGGTGGTTCACCTCTTCCCCAGCTCTCCTGGCTGTCTCCCGGCCTTCTTCCTGCCTGCGGCCCCTCCCGCTCCTTACCCCAGGTTGCGCGCTCTCCTCTCCTGTGCTGGCATCCCCTCTCTGACCCAGTTTCCCCACATCTGCCTTCTTCCTGTCTCACAACAGCTTCTTGCTCTGGTCGGCCCTGTCTAGTCTTCGAAGCTGGCTTTCTTGCTGGCCCCAGACAGCCTGTCGCCAGGTCTCATGGCTCTGCCTTCCCCACCCAACCTCCTGAACTCTCTTTTCTTGGCATCTACCTTGCAGTGCCTGTCAGTCTCCATGGCTTCCTCCTTGGCTCCATTGTTGCCCACACTGTGAGCCTGTCCTCTCCCTACTTCTCCCTCCACACAGGCCCCTCCTCCTGATGCCACACATGCTCACCCACCCAGGGACGCTTTCATGCCCACATGCCCTTGTACACACATGGAACTTTCCATTTGGAAGTGAAACACCACATCCAGATCAGGTGGTAGCTGGTGACTCGTGAAGGGTCCAGAAGTGCTCTGCTCTGTAGGCCAGACCCGGGCCCACAAGAGGACTCCAGGAAAACAGTCCATCATAATCTGCTTTTCCCTAGCCCAGACCATGTCCCTCCTCCCTGGGCTGGAGGTAGCATCAGGATCCACTCGTCCTGCAAAGGCATCATCGGAAGAGGGCTCCCCGGAGGAGGTGGCACCCTCCATGCCCCAAGACAGTGGTCCCAGGATTCACCAGGCGCTGAGCAGCACTGGTCTGGATGTTCCCACAGAAGCTGTGACGTGTGAGTCTCAGAGAACTGGGGTTTGGGGTGGCAATATGCAAGGGCTGCCCTCAGAAATCCAACCCAGGTACGCTGTCGGGTGTACAGGTGCAGCTGCTCTCTCCCTCTCTGCCCTGTAAGAGGCCAGGCTCCAGGCAATACAGCTTGAGGCTGCAGGACGGGAGCCACCCTTTACTTCTGAGAAAGAGAATTGGTGTTGGGCGGGGCAAGAAGCTGACACACTCGCAGTGCACGCTTCAGGGCGGGACCAGGGTGCGAAGGAGAGAGGGAAGTCCCCAGATGGATTAGTCTTCTCTACCAGGCCTGTCTGGAGGTCTCCACAGCACCCTGGGAGCTGGGCAAGGGCTGCCCAGGTTGTTTTATGATAAGCAACTGCTGCCTTCCATGATAGCGCCTCAAAGGAAATTGTCTTTGAGTGAGCTTGAGTGCTTCCCTAGAGAGGCGTCACCACAGCTGGTCAAGTTGGTTCTGTAGATGAGCAGACTGAGGTACAGACCCAGACCAGACCAGGACACACGAGGTGCTCAAGCCTCCTGGCCCCACTCTGCGATGCCCACCTGCTTTGCTGGCACAAATAATGCACCTCCTGCTCCTCTAGAGAGGGCATCTCAGGCCAGCTGGACAGCCTGGAAGTCGGATTCTTGACTCCTGTGAGAACAGTGTCCTCAGCCTCCTACACGCACACACACACACACTACACACACACACATGTACACATACACACAGAGACACACATACACCACACACATGTACACATGTACACACATACACACCACACACATGCACACACACATACACATATACATGTGTGCGCGCGCACACACACACACCACATACACATGCACACACATGCACACACACAAAATTGAGGAAAGGAGGTCATGGCTGTGGCCACAGGGAAGGGGCCCCAGGTGAGAAAGGGACAGACACCCCTGTGTCTGTGGCCCTGAGTGTTTGCACTGTGACTCAACCCCACCCCACCCCTTGGCCACCCCACAGCCGAGGCCACAGGAGAGCTTTGTGTCTGCAGTACCTCCCAGGGCCCTAGGCTCACCGCAGACTCCCTCCCTCTGGCCGCTGTACCCACGTTTAGGCAGCAGGGCAAGGGACAGTGAACCTGGCCAGAGACTCAGCCAGTCTTCCCTAGAGCCTGATTCAGGCCTGGCCACTCCCGTGGCTTTGCTCCTGTTTGCGGGGTGAAGGCCCCAGCCATGCCTTGCCGCTACCCCAGCACGCTCCCCTGTGTCCCACCTTGTCATTGACCTTGTTCCCCAGACTCCAGCCTCTTCCCAGCCCTGGGATCTTTCTGTGAGTTGTGCCAGCTAGTCCTCAAGTTTTTTCATCTGAAAACTGTGCCAGTAATAGATTGCTTGCATGTTACTCGTGTGTACGTATCTTAGTACAATGTCTTGCCCCTAATACCCACTCAAAACATGTTAACTAGCAACTGCGTATAGGAAGTGATTATGCAAACCCCCTGGCTCCCAGCCTTTGCCCCGCCCCTTGCCTTTCTGTCCTGAGCCCAGCTCAGAGTCTCAGGTTAGTTCTGTCTCTGGCCCTTTGTTTTCTCCTCAGTAAGAACAGATAGTGACCCAGGCATGGTGGTCTCCATCAGTAATCCCAGCACGCTGCAAGTGGAGGCAGGAGGACCACAGACTTGAGCATCCAAGTTTCACAGCTACATAGCCAATTTGAGTTCAGCTTTGGCTACAAAAGACTCAAAGGGAGAGGGGGGCTTTTAAAGAGGGTTCCATGAGAAAATAGTTAGCAAATATTGGGGACAGCGACTGGCTAGCACGCAGCGAGGGTTCAATGGGACGGTGACGCTGGCACAGCCCCCACAGCTCAGAGGCGCACCAAAGCCACCTTCCCCTCCCCTGAGCACCCAAGGGGCCCTGGCATCTCTCTCCTGTAGAATGCAAATCCACAAGTCAGCCTGGAGAAGCCAGGGCACCAGGGCCCAGCTAAAGGGTGGAAGAGCCCCATGTTTGCACAAGGCATTTCTTGTGACCCCGTCTTCACCCCTACCAGCATGGCATACACATACCAGCACCTCTGAGACTAGTGCCAAGCCACTCCATTGAGCACCCTTTGAATGAGCTCCAGAGAGCATCCGAGGATTTGGGGGCAGTCCCCGGGATCAGCTTCCTAAGATTGGTTGCTTAGCCTAGGAGGGTGACTGGCCTTCCCGGAGGTCTCTCTCCCCACCAGCTCCTGTCCCTACTCCACCCCTTGTCACCCAGGAGCCCTCAGCTCTCTCTGCCCAGGACAGCAGGGTGGGGCGGGACTATGGTGAGAAGCAGAAAATAAAGGGACCGCTGTGAGGGGCTTTCGAGTCCAGGGCCAAGCGTGTGTCTCCAAACAGATGTTCCCAATAAGTCACCCAGCAGCACCAAGGGCGAAAACAGCTGGGGGATTGGCAGAGGCCGAGGTGAAGGTTAACTGATTCATTGCCGCCTTAAGCAGCCCCAGCCAACCGTGTCGCCCAACCGTGTCGCCCCAACCCCGCTACTCTAGCCCAGATCCCAGAGCCAAAAACAAGAGGTCTCACCCCTGCTTTGTACCTTTGGTTTTCGTTTTTCTGGAATGAGGACTGCCATGGGAGTTGGGAGCTGAGCCCCAGTCTTTGGCTGTTCCGTGGTGTCACTCTGGGCTAGTCATTTCGGCTTTCCGGGCCTCAGTTTCTCCATGTAAAAGACACAATCCTGCCTTCGCTGCCCTGAGGTGTGCCGGGTTCAAACGGGTTGCTGGAGGGCGATGCGCTTTCCCCATCACCTTTCCTCTTCACCCCTCCAGGCCAGCCTCAGGGGAACCCCTTAGGCTGCACCCCACTACTGCCAAATGGCTCCAGCCACAGCCACCCCTCAGAGCTGGGCAGTGCCGGGCATGCGGGGAATGGTGCTCCCGGAGGCCCCAAGGCCCACCGGAAGTTGCAGACACACCCATCTCTGGGCAGCCAGGCCGGAAGGAAGAGCAAAGGCAGCACCCGGTCGGCTTCGCAGGTCCCCCTCCAGGCCCAGGAAGGTAAGGTCCTGCCGTGCCAGATCCTCAGGCAGACGGCATCACCAGCTTCTGGTTAAGAATTGCACAGCTCAGTGGGACACAATGCCTCGAGCCAAAAGGCTCAGCACCTAGGAGGATGAGGCAGGAGGATCAAGGCCATCCTGGGCTACATAACAAGACACTGTCTCAATAAGGCAGGCTTGGTGGCTCACACGCCTTCTATCCAGCACTCGGAGGCTGAAGCAGGATTGCCGTGAGCTGAGCTGGCTTCCTGGTATCCCCATGGTGGGCATGCTGACTCCTGCAGGCTGCCCTCTGAGCTCCGCATGTATGTGGATGTGTGTGTAGAAAGGTAGACCTCCAGCCTCCAGTGAATCATCCATGGGGCCCAAGGAAGAAACAGCTAGAGGCTGGGCAGAAGCCAAGGTGAGGGTTGACAGAGGGGTCCAAAGGCCTGGCCCTAACGAGCCCTTGATGTCCCATTCAAGTTAGTACACCTTGCATGTACGCCCGGTCGGTGAAGTGATCGCTGTCCCAGCCCGACTCTCTTAGGCTCAATCTAACGAGGAATGTAGCCACCTGGACTGATCCAGTCTAAACCACTTTATTTCTTTTTTTTTTTCTTTTTTTCTTTTTTTGGTTTTTCGAAACAGGGTTTTTCTGTGTCTTTGGAGGCTGTCCTGGAACTAGCTCTTGTAGACCAGGCTGGCTTCGAACTCACAGAGATCCTGCCTCTGCCTCCGGAGTGCTGGGATTAAAGGCATGTGCCACCACCGCCCGGCAAGCCATTTTATTTCTACAATAGGGAAATTTCCACCAGGGGGTTGTGGGGCACGTGCTTAGCGTGCACACGGCCCTGCTTGCATCCCCAGCACCAAAGAAAATATTTTTTAAAATTACCTTTAGAGTGGACCATCTGCTTGGTCAAACAAAAGGAGAGAATAAAATGATGCTGAGCTGCAGGTGCAGGGAAGGGAGGGGAGAGGTGGGGAGGGGGAGGGGGAGGAAGGGCAGAGGGAGGGAGGGAGGGGGAGGGATGGGGAGGGAGGAGGGTTTGGGAGGGAGGGGAGAGGGAGGGAGGGGAGGAGGAGGGAGGGGGAAGGAGGGGGAGGGAGGAGGGACAGGGGCACAAGGTGCAGCAGGTCAGACACCCAGCTGCTTGCTGTCCTAGCAACACAGAGGCTCTTTGGGCTGCCCGGGTCAGCCATCTGCTTGGCCCACGAGGTATCATGGGGCAGCCATCTATAGCTCAGGAACCACCCGACCATGTTGGGGGACCCTGGCCTGGCCCCCTGCAATCGGGATTCGATGTGTGCATTTGTTGTTCTTGTTTAAGATTTATTCACTTGGTGCGTATGAGGGCTTTGCCTGCACATATGTGTGTGTGCACCATGTGTGTACCTGGTACCCTCAGAGGCCAGAAGAGGGCGTCAGATCCCCTGGAACTGGAGTTACAAATGGTGGAGACCCATCATGTGGAAGCTTGGAATTGAACTGGATGGAACCCAACCCAGGTCCTCCAGGAGAAGAGCAAATGCTCTTAACCACTGAGCCATCTTTCTAGTGTGGGCCTGCCGCCCCCCCATGCCCCACTCCCCAATTTGTTAAGTAAGGCATTATGATACCGTCTCGCCTCTTGGGGCAGGTTCTGCCCAAAGTGTTTGTATGATAGGCAATCAGGCAATCATTCACTTAACTTGTCCTGGGGGGGGGGGCGCTAGGTGGTAGAGCACTTATCTAGCATGTTCAAGGTCCTGGGTTCAATTCCCAGGGATACCAGAAAATGAATGATAATAACAACTGTGCATACTGGGGATCTAATACATGCTAGGTGCCTAACCCATGCCCTCCTCTCATGGAAAGGGTGCGCATGGGATCGTCATCCATGTGACAAGTGTATGGTATAGAGGCTGTGTTAGCATGGGAATGGCCACACCAGCACGGAAGGCTGAAGAGGGGAGAGTGTGAAGTCCAGAGGCCAAGTTAAGGACGCCTCTTCACCTGCGTTTGATAAATACATAATCAGAGGACGATTAAGAACGGACTCCCCCCCGCAGCCTGCCTGGGCTCCCCCCAGTCCCCACTCTTAGTTGCTTGCCTCCTGTGCCTGTAAAGACACTGGGTACCCCTACTGGCCCCATTTGCTTCCTGGGGCGATGGGGGCCTCAGAAGCTAGGTCTGCTGGACTGTTGTCGGTGGGGCTGGCTGGCTCCTGTCCCTCACTCGCCCACCCTCTGCCCACAGATTGCTGCGTCCACTGCATACTGTCGTGTCTGTTCTGTGAGTTCCTGACGCTCTGCAACATCGTCCTGGACTGCGCCACCTGCGGCTCCTGCAGCTCCGAGGACTCCTGCCTCTGCTGCTGCTGCTGCGGCTCGGGAGAGTGTGCAGACTGTGACCTGCCCTGTGACCTGGACTGCGGCATTGTGGATGCCTGCTGTGAGTCAGCAGACTGCCTGGAGATCTGCATGGAATGCTGTGGACTCTGCTTCTCCTCCTGACGCCACGGTGGCCCCAGAGTGGTCACACAAAGCTTGACACCTCCCCCGTCCCCGGGGCCCACTGAGAATCCCAACCCAGATGTGAGAAGGTGGGATGGCCAGAGGAGTCCCCTCAGCCACAGGACAGGTCCTTTCCAGACAAGCCTGCTCTCCTTGATCTAGAACATGGCGTCTAGAGCCTGGCGGGACAGAGCCAGTTAGCGCCAGGGCTCAGAACACTGTGAAAGGCAGGGGAGGGGTCAGGCCGGGAGGCCCATGTCCTTCTCTACCTCTCTGCTCCAAGTGCCCGCCTCCCTGTGCTGCCCCAGCTTGGAGGACAAAAAATGTGAAAAGACACCTGCCCTGCCCATTGTCAGGCCCCACCCGCCTCCCCAGCTCATTTACTCGGCTCTTGGAGGGGCCTAACCCATATAGTGACCAAGAGGATGGGGCTTACGGCGGGGTTGGTGGGAGGGGAGGCTGTAAGGAAAAGACTGGAAGGGGGTGGTAGAGGGAGGGTCTGTTTTATTCATTTCTGTAAATAAAGAGATTTGTTCCGTCTCCACTCTCCTCAGGACTCGTGACAAAGTGTGGGGACATAAATGCTCAAAAGCAAACCCCCCCCCACTGCACCTTGTATGGGGCCTCGGATGGGCTAGAGGTAAAACACTTGCCACACAAGCATGAGGGACTGGGTTTGGATCCCCAGAATCCACTTAAAAGATGGGTGGAAGCCTGTGTCTGCCATTCCAGCCCTCCTATAGCAAGATGGAAGGCAGACAGGAGAACCTCTGGAAGCCTGAAGGCCAGCTATCACACAAGAAACTATTTCAAGCAAGATGGAAGGCGAGGGCTGACCCTGAGGTTGTCCTGTGGCACACAGCCTGTGGGCAGGCCTGCACCTCTCTCTCTCTCTCTCTCTCTGCCTCTCTCTCTCTCTCTCCCCCTCCCTCTCTTTCTCTCTCTCTCTCTGCCTCTCTCTCTCTCTCCCCCTCCCTCCCTCCCTCTCTCCCTCCCTCCCTCCCTCCCTCCCTCCTTCCCTCCCTCCCTCCCTCCTTCCCTCCCTCCCTCCCTCTCTCTCGCTGCCCTTCTCTCCGGCTCATGATTTCGCTTCCCGTGAAGGGAAAAGGATAGGTCCAGTCCTCACTGCTGTTCCCGATGCCTGCCAACTGACAGCGGGATTCGGCAAAGGAAGAGTTAACCTTGGCACAGTGTAATTAACAACAGATGTGTTCAGGCTTTGATTAATTAATCCTGCTGACTGTAGCTTCTCCAAGCTTCCTGATGGAGTGGCTCCAAGGCTCAGGCTGGCCCTGTGTCAGCCTAGGAAGGGGTTACCCCAGGCCTGCATGCCCTGACTTGTGCCTGGGATCCTGGGAGTTGAGGGCAGATGTGACCTGAGCAAAGGTCACATTCCCTGGCTCAAGTTCTGTTCCCCAGTTGTCAGAGGCTGGAGGAGAAGGAAGCCTTGTCAGGACCACAGGAGCCTCAGAGGTCCTGTGACCCATTCTGGCAAAAACGTAGGATGTGGCCAGCATGGGCATCACTGATCTGCACTGGGGTACCTAAGAGATCAGGGTAGGTCACATGGTGGGGACTTAGGGTCCCAGGAAGAGACTTGGCTAGAGAGGACCTGAGATGCAGGCACACAAAGGTATGAGCGGTCGCTGCTCCCATCCGATGGCTGGAGCGGGCCAGAGGTTCTGCTGGGAAGGACACTCAGATGGGCTGTAGGCAAACCAAACTCCCTTGGGAATATTATGGAGCAGTGGGCTTCCCTGCAGTAGCAGCTGGCTGTGACAAGCCCTAAAGGGACTTCTGCCTCACAGGCCCATGCTGTGGTCCTTACTCTGCCTGCATTAGCGGATTCTAATACCGCGATGGAAACGTAGGAGAAGACAAACCTGCCTGGAGTCACAGTCAAGCCAGGAGAAAGCACACAGGCCCCCTAGTGTTCATTAAAGAAAGCACACAGCCCCCCCTAGTGTTCATTAACGTGTCTATATTCATTTGTTCACAGTTTTTATTTACTTACTGCGCATGTCCAAGGTTCAAGAGTTCAATGTACATTTTATACGCTCTTTTTGTTTGTGGTTTTGTTGTTGTTGTTGTTTTTGGTTTTACGAGACAGGGTTTCTCTGTATTGTTTTGGAGGCTGTCAGTCCAGCCTGGCCTCGAACTCACAGAGATCCACCTGCCTCTGCCTCCTGAGTGCTGGGATTAAAGGTGTATGCCACCCCCCCACCCCCGGCCCTGTTTGTGTGTTTTGAGAGAAGTTCTTTCTAGGTAGCCTGGCTGTCCTGGAGCTCACTCTGTAGACCAGGCTGACCTCGAACTCACTGATCTGCCTGCCTCTGCCTCCCCAGCTCTGGGGTTGAAGGTGCTCACCACCTCTTGTAGCTTCTTTTGTTGTTGTTTTCGACAATAATCGTGATGGTAATTTGAGCAGAGCCACCGAGTGTCAGTGGATGGGTGACTTGGCTTTATTCTCATCCATTCTCAGCAGTCATGAACACACCCATTTACATAAATACGCTGTCTCTGAAGAACGTTCCAGAAAATGAAAGGTGGGTGCAACGGTGCATGCCTGTAATCCCACACTCGGGAGGCTGAGACAGTCACAAGACAGCATGTCTCAGACAGAATCTGAGAGTGGCATCCTGGTCACACGGTGCTTATGGCAGGCCCCCAGTGGGCCTCCATGAACGTCACACAGTCTCCGCACACATGGCCTCAGGCTGTCCCGGCTCCCGCCGCCCTCAGCTCTCTTCACCAGAGGAGACTGGGGTGGCTTCTGTTTAGCCCCTGGCAGCCTCAGATCTCCCTCATCCTGGGGGCTGAGAGGTGGTCACAAGGTGGAGGGTAAATATGAGGGCTCCGACCCACTCAGCATCAGCCCAGGTGGGCAGGAAGCCCCTCCTGGCCTCCCTTGCACAGACGCTGGCAGAGGCAGGAAGGGGCGCCCCTGCAGTCCAAACACTGGTTTCCTGTTGTGGGCTCCAGGCTGTTTTCTTTAGGATAGTGGCTGAATCCCGGGGGCTGAGCAGGGTGGGGGCAAGACACAGGAAGGGTTTAGGCAGGCCCAGCACACACACACACACACACACACACACACACACTCCAGATAGTCACATGGCATCCCCCATTCTACATTCCAGAACTGAGACTCCTCCACGGAGGTCAAAGTGCACCCTGCATTGCTGGTCCTGCCCCCCCACCTTTCCCGGGTGTCTCCTCTCTGCCCAGAAGCTGAGGACACTCATCTAGAGCTGTCCTCTACCCGCTTGCACCAGCCAGCCTCCCAGGAAAGCCCTAGCTGGCTCCCCTTGTCCCCCACAATCCTCTGATGGCATCACCCTCGCTTACAGCGGGACCGTGCTGGGTGACTGTTCTCAGCTGGCTCTGCTGCGCATCACAGAGGCGGGATGCTCACCCTCGCCCTCAGCCTCCCTCACAATGATGGGCACTTTCTGTTCTTGGACCCAAAGTTGGCCAGGTAGAGTGTCAGAGGAGCACCACCCCCGACTCTGGAGCTGCTGGGGGCCCCGCTTGAGCAGCCCCTCCTGTTTGCAGCCAGCTGTGTCTCCACCAACCAATAGTGGGCGTGGTGTGGTCCCTGAGGCCCTCAGGGCTGCTGCAAACCCCTATTGATGGGGGGGGGGGCAGGGACTCCACTGTGGCTCGGAAAGTAGCATAGCATAGCATAGCCACAGACAGGAGTTCTGGGGACAGAGAGGATGCCATGACAGGGCTTGTCGCTTTTCTGAGCTCTGACTTTCCTAGGGAGAGGAAGGTCACAATCTGGGGTGACACCCATGCCAGGAGACCTCAGTGGCTGTCACCCTTTCCCAGCCCCGCCACCACCTCTAAACCTGCTTTTAAGGGGACAGCATCCTCGTCACGGCAGAGGGGCAGGCTGGGTGTGTGTCTGGGGCTGTTCACACACCAGCTGCCCACCACAGTCTTAGTTCACTCCTCTGAGAAGCCCTAGATTAAAAGCAAGCGAAAGACAGATTCACTCAGTTTAAGCTACAGACCTATTGCTGTACCGGGAGTGGAGGGCTGTGATTGGCTAGACCAAGTCATGTGACACTTGGGTAACCTGGAGAAGGTGTACCACATGGCCATCCCTCCAGAGCCATGTAGAATAGAGAAGAGGTACTTTGGGGTGGGGGGGGGGAAGCAGGCTGGGAAATAAAAAGAATGGGGGCCCCTATCAGGTTAGACTACCCCGGGGGTGCAGGAGATCTCGAGGTCGCTGGCCTCAAGATCTCCAACAGTAAAACAGCTCAGGAGGGTTGCATGTCTGCAGCACCTGATGCTTGGAGGAGACAGAGGGTCCCTCTCAGGCCCCAGCAGGCAGAGGTTAGAGCAAGGGGCAGTCAGACAGGAGAGGCTCCAGCTCTCTGAGAGAGAGGGTGACTAGGGTCCTAGGAACTAACACCCCAAGGGCAGCTCCCCTGATCCCAGACTGCTCTGGGGCATGGGTAGTGATGGGCCCTTGTCCTGGTGTTGACCAGGTGACGGGAAAGACAGAATGTCCCCACGATGCCTTCTAGCGGAGACCCCCCGTGGCTCAGCCGCAGGGACATGGCCATCTGACGAGAAAGAATAGAGGCCAGCACATAGAGGAGATGGAGGTGTGGGGTGAGCTGAAGAAAGGGTGCTGGATGGCTTAGCAGGGGAAAACACACACAACACAAACAAACAAAATGCGACTTAGAAAGAAAGGAGAGTCGGAAGCGGCCAAGTAAGATCCTGGACCCAGGAGAGGAGAGTGCTGTGGGGACCCGGCCCTCGGCTCCTCCCAAGGTCACCCACTGTGGGCTGTGGGCACAGTGGTGCTCCTCAGCCTGGGTCCCTCCCAAACATGGAGCTTCCACAGAACTGGGCGACTTAGCATTAATTAGCGGCCCTGGCTAATGGCTCGGAAGATTGGCCAGTTCCAG